TAATAATTAACTGAGAAAAACACGAAATATGAAACCTAAAAAATTTAGTGTCGAAATTAGGGCATGTGACTCTAAATAGCAATCAACAACAGTGAAGAAATAATTGTAAGAGTTTAGCACCACAAATTGGTGCTGTATACTAGGAGTGATTTTTGCAGCATTTTGTGTCCACATGTTATCGACAACTGTATCTTATTATTTATCTATTTCTGGATCGAATGAGTTCTATTTAAATTAGTGTCTTTCACACTAAATATGGAAATGACCAAATTCTCTCTCTTCGTATTTTCAATGGTCATTCACAGGTATCGGGGATAAATTTCAAGATATCATCGAGTTCCTGATCTCACCCTCACCCATATTTGCTAGTTCTCTAATGTAAAGCCGTAGAATGACTGGATTAAATACATAGACGATCACCCTTGATGGAGAAAGTTCAGTCGACAAAGATAAAGGAATGATTCTGTTCTAGTAACAACATCTTTCATTACATTTGACATTCGCTATTATCCTTTCGATGTTTTCCTGTTAATTCTCTTTCTTATCCAACACTGTTTCGCGATCGACATTTTCTCATTGATTAAACATTAGCTAATCTTTTCGACTTTTTCCTACTTTTTTGTCGACATTTTCCCTGTTCAACATTTTACTCTTCTACGTTTTCCGCCAATCCGAATCTAATGGTATTATCAGTTCTTTTGGCTACCGTACTTCACAATGGGATTCCAGAAAGCCGATTTTTGAGCATTGGGGTTTTACGGGGAACTTTTTTCTTAGAACAGTCTTAGACATTGAAGAAGTCAAACAATCATACAGGTCTTGTAGAGTGGACGTTCTTTTATCTGAAGATTATTTATGAAAACTTTTGCGTTGTCTGATGCAGCTTCTGGAAACGGTTTTCTACGGAAAAGCCAGGGTTTCTGGAAAACCTTTCACAGAGACCAAGCGCTTTACTTGACGATATAATCTATTTTCGATATTTTGATCGAAAAATAAAAAATTCATAAGTCATTCAAAACTGTCTCAAACTGCTTCAGAATATCAACATATGCTCAGTTTTATCTGTGTTACACGATGAACTACCATAATAGTTTTGGAAACCAACAGAAAGTGCTTTGATTTTTGAAAAGTTTTCTCGAAATTTTTGGGAATAAGGAAATGTTTCGCACTAATTTCTACTACGCAAAATACGGTTAAGCACATTAACTGGAGTATATGTTAATATTCTGAAGTAGGTAGGTCCTCGAAAATGCCTATAGCTCCCGAACAATGGGGAGTAAAAATCTAGCACTTGTGTAGTTTCAAAGAAGATAGCTTGGAAGTTCGAACCACCCTGTCAGAATTCAAAATACTTTATTTCACAAGTATACAGAATAAAAAATCCGAAAAGGTTTTCTAGAATACCTCTGAAAAACTCTAAAGTTAGGGAGGATGTATTGGTCATCTTATACGTTTGTAAGCCGTGTTTTTTTTATAAGAATGCAGAAAAAACCAAGGCTTTATCGTAAAACGCTTGGTCGGAAAGATTTTTCAGAAACCCTGGCTTCTCCGTAAAAAAACGTTTCCAAAAGCCGCATCAGACAACACAAAATTATTCCACAATAATTTTTAGATAAGAGAAAGTAAGCTCTACAAGACCTATATGATTGTTTGACTTCTTCAATGTCTAAGACTATTCTAAGAAAAAAAAGTTCCTTGTAAAACAAAACCCAGCACTCAAAAACCTACTTTCTGGAATCCCATTATGAAGTACGGTGACCGAAAAAACTGATGATATCATTCAGATTCAGAAAGATGGAAAAACTCTAAGATTCAGGCCTCCTGAATCTACTGCTTCTGGAAGTAATGCTGTAAGCGTATCTTTCAACTCAAAAATCCTCTCTTTGCCGGCATTATTGTTGATAATTTATCCTAAATAGAGATGCAAATGTGACAAATATGGAGATAATTTCTCATTTCGCAATAACAAAACGTTAATATTATCTTCGACAATAAGAACTATAACAAGCAGCTATTTAAAGGGACATAAGACACAGATATATCGCTATGCCTAGAACAGTGTTGCATAACTTGTTTGTACCTAGCTTTTGGTAATTTCGCAGTGTGACAGAAACAGTTTTCGACAGTGTCGGGTTCGAGTAAAAAAACTTCCACACTGTTGAATTTCAAGTAAAAAATCCGGCAGTGTCGAAAACTGACTGTCGAAAAGTAAAACTGTCGAACGACGACAAACTCCTAGTTTTTCCTTCCTCGCTTCCTCATTACCATGGACTAATCCGAACTTACTATAAAATATCACAAATCTGAGCATTTTCCTCTTTCAGCCAAGTAGTTGACTTAAGTCTCAAAGCGAATATAAACATAATAACGACACTTCTAAATTAAATCGTATTATATCCTACAAATAATCAATAATTAATGATTAAGTCTATTGATTCAATTTTATTCAAATATTTTATTTTTTATTCAATTTTAACAAATACAGTGAACAATCAAAATAAATATACTAAATACATCATAACAGATACAATAAACTATCGAAATAATAATTCATAATAACAACTAAATAAAGCTAAAATAACAATAAAAATAGACATTGAAAGTTGAGAATTTTATTGTCATAATTACCTTACAACAGCCGTGTAACATGAGAAAGTTGAAAATTTTTACAGTATGAAGGGCCCAACAGATTTTTGTTAAATCTCAGTACTAAAGGGTTTTAAACGATGCTCTTTTTGATGAATGACTTGAAATAATTTTAAAAGTGCTGGAAGGAGGATTTCCAGAAAACCACGGTTTTCACACCACCATTTACACAAAATAATTTTTATAAAAGAAACATTTGTCTCTATAGACCAACTGGGAAAGAAAAAATTGACATTTTCCGGGAAAAGGGCGATTTTTACGGATCCGCCGGTTTTTCAGTATTTGGAGGTTTTCTACTAGGCTAAAGCGTTTTTTCTCAACAAATCTTACATATTCGGAATTAGCTTCGAAAACTGCGAAATATGATCACAATTTTATTTTAATAGTATAAACTGCATACTTGTACTGTGTAAATTTTGGATGAAAATGTTTGCACAGTCAAGTAGTTTTTTGTTGGGTTGACCACGTTACGTGGTCGTCGCGCGAGTGAGAGAGAGACTGGTGAATTTTCAAGTGGAGCCCCAGTAAATCCACCAAGCTTCCCGGAGATTCCCTATGGTGATCCCCTACACTCCCCTGGTGGTCCTCCGGGGAGTTTGGTGGATCACAAGGGAAATTTTCTTGGGAAGCGTGGTGGATCACCTGGGGAGTGAAGGGGATTCATATAGATAGAACTAAGAGTAACTAACTCATTAGACTCGTACGCTTTTACTATGTATCTGGTAACGATATACACTTTCCGCATTTGTTTCAGTGTTTATGCAGTGATAGAGAAAAGAATGCTCTATTTTTCTATGCTATTTGATCATACTTCAAATAATATTATAATAATAAAATTTCGATAAGATCTGTTTTGTCTGCATGTGTTCTGGTAGCATGAACGCGAGAGGAGTATTTTTTGAATAACTTTTGATAGAAACAAGAGAGAGAGCTGCGGTTTTCACCGCTGAAAAAAGGGGATGGTGACGCATCGAATCGTGTATTATAGATTTTTCTAATATAGATTTCTAAAAACATTTTTATTCAATTTTCTAACTGTCGAAAAAATGTTTTTTTTATGATAAAAGGAAAAAGAACAAAAGTTAACTTTTTTCACAGAAATTGGTGGAAAATCGTATTAGAGGGTGGACTAGCATACATATTATTCATCTCAGCCTTCCGCAGTTTCCAGATCTTCGATTAGCGGTTTGAATCTGCACTTGATAATTGAAAATTCACTGTTAACACCTTACCAGATACGTTTGCTGTGAAAAAGGTAAATTGAAAACCTGACAAAAAATAGGTCAGGAAACCCTGTCATATAGCACATAGAAAAAAAACTACTTTTCTTGATTATTTATCACTCGCTGGAATAATGGCACAATAATGGCATCTTAAAATAACTCGAAAATTTAAACGTGTAAAATATATCTAACACACGCATACACATATTCTCTTACTCTCTCATATACTCTCACACACAGTCGCACACTCTCGCGCACAAACTCTCTCAAATACATTCACACAGTCTCTCTATTCTGATTTTGCTTTCGATCGCTAGCAAGCGTTAGGAACTTTATTGGTTTTATCGGTAAGAAGCGATAATTGGTAAGATATGATAAAACCGATAACGATAAACCGATAAATTATCGTTACCGTTGCATGCCTAGCACGAAGTATCCTTTTCGTTTTCAAATATTAATGAAAAAATTGATAGAATTATTTGTGATGGTCGATTGCGTGGCAAATATGATCTTATGAAGATGATTAATAAGTCAGGTATGTCGCGAACTATTATTCGATCCAGTTTTGTTACTCGATCCACTTTTGCATGAAAATACTCAATGCGTCTCTAGTGTAGTAGCTGTACTTGCACGAACCGTCGTGCATAGTACCCTAGTCGAACATCTTGGAACCAAGATCTTGACATCTTAGTTTTTTTCGAAAAGATCTTGGCAAGATCTTTGGTACAGGATGTCAAGATATTTTTGTTCCTAAGATCTTGCCCATGATCTTGCGTACAAAATCCTAAAAATTATCTTGTATCCAAGATCTTGACTGCAAAATGACTTGTACCCAAGATCATGGCTCATGATCTTTGATACAGAAATATTTTGACATCTTGTACCGAAGATCTTTGAGTAACCATTGGTTATCATTTACCGTCTTATTTTGGCGATCTCATCCTATATATGAACATTCTATTTTGTGTCTAATGTTACTATGTTTTAGTCGACAGCAGAGTCAAAATTCCATCAGGGAGGCATTAGGGATCGTTCGTCCTAGCGGATGAAATGTTCACCACTGAGCGGTAAATTTCTTTTGTTCCCAACACTTGTTGAAAAAATGCAAAGAAAAAAAGTTAGTTTTGAAATATGACGATTTTTCAAACGTTCAAGATCTTGGGTACAAGATATCAAGAAATATCTGTACCGAAGGTCTTGCGTAAGATCTTGGGTACAAAAATGTGCTGAGATCTTGTACCCATTTTTTCAAGATCTAGTGCCAAATCTTTACATAAGATCTTGGGCAAGATCTTGGTTTCAAGATGTTGGACTAGGGTACTGCTTTCGGTAATTCACATAGTATTCGAACATTTTAGTTTCAAATGTGTATGAAAAATTAGAAAGAAACGCCAAGTTTGGTCAACAAATTTTATCGTTATCTTTAATCGGTGACAAACGTTTTAATTTTAATCAATTAACAAAAGTATTAAAACTGTTGCCAAATTTAACACGTTTGATGGTTGAAATAAATGCCCTGCGCGGTCCCGGGGCAGCGGTTGTACATTTGCCATCACTAGAAGACATAACGCTGAAGATCGATTTTCATACAACTCGTTATACCTTGGAAGACATATTATTATGTTTTCCAAATTTGCAGAATTTTGAATTAAGTGGTGTGTGTAACAATACAGACATGGTGTGAGTTTTATTTTAATATTACGTGTTTTATTTTCTGATCTAAGGTTTGTTTTCCACGTTTAAAACATTCTTCAGTTTTCATTTAACACGAAATTTTCTATCACTGCATTTGCTTTATATCGGCAATACTTTGACTGCTTTAGGACTAGGCATTATTTAGAAACGTTGCTGGAAACTTTATTATTTATAAAAGAATTTAAACTGGAGATGGAAATCTATCAACGAAGATTGAAATGGCAATTTAGAAAAAATTCAGTCCAGATATTGAAAACATTTCAAGATACCTACTGGCAAAATGCTTATCAAATTTCCACAACACGCCATACATATACTGATAATTTGGTATTGAACATTGATTTAAAGTAACACATGTACCATAACTGATGTTTTATGGTTCGCGTGTGAATATTGCTGATAAGGTAACGTTTACTATATGTGATGAATAAGTTCGGACTTTCAAAAAATGTGTACCCGTACATATATATTTTCACTAGGATCAGTTCGTTATTAAGCCGATCAATACTTCATGAATATTCTATGAATGAGTCGGAATGACTGAACCTCAGTCTTCCGTACGTTAAACAGAGTCGAACCGATCATCACTAACAGCAAAGCGATTTTACAGTGAGGATATTCATAATTGCTGTTACAAAGCATCAAATCTTGATGCATTTCTCACTTCTGTGTATTTTTATTGAGATTTTTGGATAGCAAACATTGATTGAGCCTATAAAGGGCGTATCATAATAACTGACGATAAATTGTTAATAATATTTTTCATATGATTTCTTGACGTAGAGAGCTGAAACTTTCAGAAATAAAGATATTGATTAGATGCATATGTGATAAAAATTTCAGCTCTTTACGTCCAGAAAAAGTACGAAAAATATCATTAACAATTTATCGTTGGTTATTATGACACACGCTTTGCGCTGACTAAGAAAATCCTTAGATATTTATCTTCCTTCTGTCACCCACTAGGACTACTATGTACTTACTTTACCAATTGATTACTTTTTCCTCGATTTAATTCTTTGAAAAAGTCAAAAGAAGCAAACATGGACTAAATAGAAGAAATAAATACCTGATATAAAAAACATTGTTTTATCTGTAGAGTAATTTTATCAACTTTAACAATGTTAGAAGATATGCGTTTATATGAAGCATATCTTCTAACATTTCATTTCATAACAGAGATGGGCGAGTCCGAGTCATGACTCGGACTCAAGTCACCTTTTTTTAATGACTCGGACTCGACTCGGACTCGAAGATTGGGTGACGTTGACTCGACTGTTTGACTCGAGTCATTCATTAAAAAAAAATTTAATTTGCTCTTATAAAAAAATCACAACTCATCAGATTAAATTTTCACTTATTCGTGAGAATAGTTGATTTTGATGTTCCTGTTTTGTTGATAAATCTATAGTACTTGTGTCATTTCATTTCATGTAGGACTTGGTTTTTTTCGTGAATTAAGAACTAGGAACTAAATATTTTGTCACGAAAAACTTGTTAATTTTCTTTATAAAAATAAACAGAAAAAGAAAAAATGGCAAAAATATCTTGACTCGACCCGACTCGGAGCCGCTACGAAATGACTCGGACTCGACTCGACTCGAAAAATGGCTTGACTCGCCCATCTCTGTTTCATAACGAAAAAGGTTGTTATTTTTCAACCTTGTGTTGGGAGTATTTAAACTGTCTAGCTCTTTGTTTTTTCACTGAGATGCCGTTGAGGAATGTTTCCAGCATTTTTAGTTGAAGAATGAACATCAATAGGGTAGTAGATCTTTGACGGTTAGAACGTCTTCTCTCTTAAGAAATACATTGCAGACGGAGATTATGCCATGATAAAAGTGCTGACTGGTACAGAAAAACTCGAGAAACTGACTACACTATGTTCTTGGAGAAAAGTTCGAGTAAAACATAGAGCAATCATGTGGAACCAAACTTTTTCTTCCAGTGACTATTCTTTTGCTTCTTTCTAGTTTAGTTAATTTTTTGCATGTATTTTTGCAAGATTCTTACGATAACTCATATCAACCCAAATCTGTTTTTTTCTAATGAATTTGCCAATCAGAGACTAGTGTAATTTTGTAGCCCATAGTCGACTGGGTGGGTTGGCACTGGTTTAGCACCGACGTATGGTCAACTCTTCAACAAAAAAATTAAAGTATAATTTGCATCAAAGTGAAGAAGGAAATAATAAAAACTAAGCGCTGACGAGTTTCAAACCTCTGCACTCGCTTATGGCAGGCGTAGTATATTGAATCCATTTTGCCGTCAGTATACTCATCTTTTAAAAGAGCATAGCTGTAATCTGTTTTACTCGGCATTTATCTTCGAGAACAGATCACAGGAGAATGATAAGGCAAGCAAAAAGAGTTGCATTCATCAGTCTCATATTCTTTATGTTTGCTTCCCCAATAGCTTAAGAAAATTATTTAGCTTTATTCAGAAGAAATCTGATTCAACAAAAAAATAAAAAGTTGGAAGTTATTTATCACGACAATCCATTCAGTCAGCAGTATTTTTGAATTTACATTATTCACAGGAGAAATACACAAGTGTTGTGAACATACCAATAAGGTATCCATGTAATGGTATCTAACAAACAAAGGGATCTAAAATAAACTAAGTTCTTCGCTATTCAGTTCTTTTATGCTCAAAATAATTTAAAATGTAGAACCTTTTAGAGGTTAATTTCTCTTCGTCTCTATCAGGGTAATCGAAACTGTGTGGACCTCTTTCTTTATAAAACTAGTCGTAGTTCATGCCTTCATCTTTCAAACGAAGCAAAAATTAAACGTTTTGCATTTTGATACAGCAAGCAACAAAGATCACAAGATATATAAGTATACTTTTTCTTCGTCGGAAAGATGCACGCGTAATTTGTTCTTGCATGCAATTTCAATATTCATGCCTTCATACATAACGTAGCCATGTGCATATATTATGTGTAACACGTTCTAGCTTCTAGCGTTTTCTCATTTGTTTTCATGATATCTATATATATACAAGCTATTGTACGTACTGCAATCTTTAGTAGAGTCAGTTGGAGGAATTCGATCAAAATCACAAAAATTTGCCTTATTTTTGTAATAACTTGACCATTTTTTATCATAGAAAAAAAGCTTTTTTGACTGCTAGAAAATATGAACGCTTGTCTATATAAAAATTATTTTAAAATTCGTTTTAATTACTCACCTATAATCAAAATGAGATGAGTCCTTTTGGTCTGATCCGATTTAGCCCAACTGAGGGAATTCGGATCAGTCAAGCAACGTTCCAGCAAAAAACGCTAATTTGACTTTTTCAACTTTCTATTCATTAGCCTTTGATCCTAATTAATTAAAAAGTACATCAATCGATAGCCCAAACATTTTTCTATGGGACCTGTAAGTTTGAAGTTATTCGGAAAAGGCGTCCAGGATAAAATGGGATTCTACTAAACCTACCCTCCGACTTTTTTTATTTTTAAGATGATTTGGGTAAATCGGATCACCTAGCATTTTTGCTTGGGGTAATTCGGATCAACCCAGCAAAAATAGCTGGGGGTGCGTGAGAAAACCTCTAGCATCTGTCAGAAGCATTTTTGAAGACCGCTTATTAGTATGTGGTCAGTGATGTGATGACTCATCAATCAATAGCAGATTGGGTATGCACTAATGCACTATGAGATATAGGTTACCTCCGGTGAATTTTCCGCGAAGATTTTACTACTATAAGTTATCTA